AACTTTAATTCATGATAATAGCAAGGAATATTTCTAGAATGAGCATACCTCTTCAGCAAACTTTAAAAAAAGTTGCCTCAAAGGTTGCTATCAGGCCCCATTCTCTTCTCTGTAGCACACATCTATTTTTTAAACTTTTTTTTTAACCACTTGATTGTATTGATCAAGCTACTTACTTCTGCCAATATTCCTCAAAAATCTACTGGAAGTCAGATTAGACTAGTGAACATTTATACTTTTCTAAAATATCTTCAAGTTAATTCTATGATATTTTCGCTCTATGCATCTTTTTGTGATTTTACCACTACATAGTTCACAGATTCAAGAAAAAAAAATACAGGGATTGTGGATTTCAAAGTAAGGTCACAAAGGTTACAATGCTATACAGGCAGTCCCCGGGTTACGTACAAGATAGGGACTGTAGGTTTGTACTTAAGTCGAATTTATACTTAAGTCGGAACTGGCATCCAGATTCAGCCGCTGCTGAAACTGACCAGCGGCTGACTACAGGAAGCCCGAGGCAGAGTTTCTCTGCCCTGGGCTTCCTGGAATCAGCTGCTGATCAGTTTCAACAGCAGCTGAATCTGGATGCCTGGGACAGAGCAGCTGGGGCGCTGCTGGGTAGGTCTCCGCAGCGCCGCACCTCGGCGCTGCAGTGACCAACCCGGCAGCACCCGAGGTGCTCTACCCCAGGTGTCCCCAAATATGTCATATGCATATTTGAAATCCCAAGAAAACCAGCATCCTGGGTTTGAGTAGGATGAGTCATCAAACTTCAGAGTAGCATATTTAATACTGCTGCAGGTTTTATTTCTGAGTTGGTGGTTGTTTTCCAGTGCCAAGAGAACATTCTGTAAATGTGCTTTTCAGCAAGAGTCAACCTTGACAAGTGTCCCTTCAAATCTTTAGAGAAGGAAATCAACTACATAGGATAAATCCTCCAAAATCTCAATATATAAGTACAATAGGGTTTCCTTCTAAATTGAAGTTTTGCATTGTAAAATACATCTAGGTTTTTTTTAGTTTTTAAGGCATTATATTAATTTTGACTACCCCTTAAATTTTTGTGTTCTCTCCTATCTCCTGTACATTTATGTTTTCCCCACTTTTGCATCTTTCTCACCCCAACTTCACTGTACTAAAATTTTCCTCTTTGTCTTTGGCGGCGGGACTGAGACGCGCCACGGTCCCGCCGCCCGGGTCCTCCACGGCTTTGCTCCGCATCTCCCTGGTTTGCTGGGAGCAAAGCCGCAGACCAGGAAGATGCGGAGAAAAGCTGCAGAGGACCCGGGCGGGACCGCAGCGCGTCTGGGCGCTCCAGCCTCCCGGGTCCTCCGTGGCTTTGTTCCGCGTCTCCCTGGTCTGCTGGGGGGGGCCCCCCAGCAGACCAGGGAGACGCGGAGCAGCTTTTCTTGCCCCGGAGGACGAGGGCGGCGGGACCTCGGTGCGTCTGGGCGGGCCCGCCGCCCGCATCCTCCAGGGCGAGAAAAGCCCGGTTCCTAAGTGCGGGGCCGACATAAGTCGGATCCGCGTAACTCGGGGCCTGCCTGTACTTCAAATACTCAATCTGTATTCTTAATATCTCAAAATTACAATTTACTAGGTAGATAACCTCTCTCAGAGACAACAAATGACTCAGTATATAAGTATAGGAGCAATGAGCTGTTTTATTCTGTCTCTACATTGTCCTAATTTCTCTATCACCACTAGATGGAACTATACAACCGCTATTTTTATTATACCCACGATGATACAAATCTTGGGTTCTCACAACAAATCTTTTGGTGGCCTCAGAGTGTGCCCATCAACTCTTTCTGGCAGTTGTTCTAACAATTTGTGTTAAAATACTTAATTAACATAAATATGCACACATGTCCAAATCATTGTAATTTATTATATAGGATTTTTTTGCAGACTCAAAAATGTACAGTTTTCTTTACTCTTCACTACTGGACCTAGGCAGAATAGAAACACAAATAAGGTATTTTATATGTTCCTCTCTTTTTTCTTCTTTTTTTTTTAAAAGACTTGCTAGATACTAAGTATGCTGTGAAAAGTAATATTAACCAATGTACAAATACCATTTTTCACAGCAGATACTCAGCTATGGCAACCCTGGGGACAAATTAAGCCCTGAAGGGGGAAGTGAGTACAGAGGTAGCAAGGAATAGGAGCATAAGGGCACGGGGGGGAGGGGGAGAGACAGGAGGTCAGAAGTGATGGGGGTGTATGGTGAGTTTGGGGACAAAGCTCATCACCACATGGCTAAGGAATGGACCCAGAAACTTGCTATGTACCACCTCAGGGCTGAAGCCTAATCCCACTGCCTTAGGAAGACTGCCTGGTCCTCCAGTTTTTGTTTCTAGAGAAAGTGGCAAGGTGCAACTACCGCTGGTGGCTCCTGCCCGCCCACCCACCGCCAATACTGCTGAAAAGGCTGTGGCTGCAAGAACCCCTCCTTGGTGACCACATTTGAGAAATACTAACAACAAACAGCTTAGCATTATACAGTACCAAATTCAGCAGTTAATTCCCATCTTCATAAACATATCATTATAATAAGATCTTTGATTATCTTGTATTCTTGCCCGAGTGATACTTCTACATTAAACCTCCATATAACAGACAAAATAAAAGCCAATAGAAGCCTCATGAAAATAAAATACTGTATTTATCACAAAGTTTTAGAAAAATGGATGCTTGATCTCCCCATGAAAGTTTCTCCTTCAACAAAGAGATTGCATGTGTGAACTCTAGGTTATTAGGGATGTTCGTGGCATGCCAGGCGAGAGCTGGTCTGCAAGGGGATCCAGTTTAAAATCCAGCTCCCCTCATGGATCAGCTGCATGTCGCCCCGTGCTGCTGCCTCTGATAAAGATGCAGCAGCGCAGGGTGGCAGCAGCCCATCTGAGGGTGTGGGGGTCTGAGCTCCCGGACCCGGTGCAAGCCGGAATGCCTGCCCACCTGGCTCCTAATACACTTTAAATGCAGAGCCTCAGCAGGGGTAGGTCCCACATCCAGAACGAGCCAGGTCTGAGCTGGGCTGTTGGCCAGTCCTCTAAAATATGTACTGTTCGG